ATTTCTTTGTTGGCATTTCCTCTTTGCCTGCTATCTCTGCAGAGGCTGTTGGTGGCCTCCTGCATTGGAGTGGCTGTGATCCCTGGAAAACAGAGGCCTTGAGAAGCATTTCAGTATGTTGATCTCTCTGTCATGGATGATGACTGGAGACTTAATATAGGCCAGAGCTCTTGGGGCCACAGCACCGTGCTACAGCCTAACAGTCATTGGGTGGCCCAGGTTATAAATCCAGGTGCTTCTAGGCATCAAAGTCAAGGCAGGTAGTAGATTGAGTCTCTACATGCTGTTCAAAGCTATCAAGGTGATTCTTGTCTGTGATTGTCCACTGGGTTTCCCAATGAGTTTCAAAATAAATATCTGTGCTTGCATTCTATCTATTCCCCCCTAGAGTGGGGCTAGGATGTCAGGGCTCTTCATGTGATACCATACATCTTGTAGCCTCAGATGACAATCCCCAGTGAATATCACTGTGGGCTATCCAATTTAGTGATAGTAGGGACAGTCCATTCAGTTTGCCTATGAACTGTGATGTGGCACACTTGAGAAAAGAATCAGGAAGGGTAGTCTCAGTGGAACTATTAGGTTGTGAAAATGTCTGATAACATGGGGACAGACATTGGACTGCCGGGAAGGGGACTTATGGAAAAGAATAGAGGGTAGGGAAATATAAGGAGGGTTGGTGAGTACTTAAAGGTAATGTTGTGGGTGATGGATAAAAGCAGCATATAAGTTCTTTTGATACAAGTTTCACACAATTATGGGACACAAATCATCTTATTCCTGGGCCTGTGTAGATCAGTTGAGTGTTAGAGACTCACAAGGAGTCCCTAGATGATGAGACTAAGACCCAGGAGGGGGAAAATGGTGGGGTCTTTCTATGACTAGCCCACAGACTGAAAACTTCATGTAGTTGTTTCTCTTGCATCCCTCATCCTAGTCATGTCTCTGCTTGAATATAAGGTCCCACGAGGATCAGGAGCTGCCAGGTAAAGTACAGTTGCTGTTCCTTTATCCACCCCACCACTGCCCTCCTCTTAACCAGTGAAAGAAAAGATCCATGTGGGATCTCCAAGAAAAGATGTCCTGAGAAAAACCTTTCCAAAAACTGAGAGAGAGAGAGAGAGAGAGAGAGAGAGAGAGAGAGAGAGAGAGAGAGGTGTAGGGGTTTGTGTGTGTGTGTGTGTGTGTGTGTGAAGGATTTCCCACCAGAGTAACATCTGCAGCTCCAAACCTTGTATGGCTGATATCTGATTTCCACTGGATGGGGAGATAACTGGATTTGAAAGCACTGGGAACTTGAGCTGGCTTTGGCCTCCCATAGAGTGCTTCCAGAGGAATCCAGCCTTTCATTAGAGTTGAGAGCCAATTGTTAGGGAAGGAGCGTTCTGCACTTGAGCCTCTTTCTGCACAACCCCTCTCCACTTCACTCTTCAAGGTATCTGAATGAGCAAACTCAAGTTTTTGCCTCTAAGGAGATAGATTGGGGGAGAGAGAAAAGCTGGCTCTCCTGCAGATTGTGCAGAGCTACTCAGAGACAGTTTCATTTAGGCAGTAAAATCTGTGAGTTGTTCTTGGCAAAGGTTCTAATGAAATGGAAACCTTGAGATCTGCTTAGAGCTAGAAGTATGGTTTTATACTGTATGTTGGGAAGGACTCTAGGCCGTTGGTGATTTGAGAAGTTGATTTGCTCTCCAAGCACAGTGGAACTTACCCATCTCATTTGGCTTGAGGAAGAGGATCGAGGCTTGAGATAAGAGAAGCTGCAATGCTGTGCAGAGGATAATATTCTTAAACTACCCTCCAGACCAGCAGTGTCTGTTACTGTTGAAGGACTTGCTAGAAGTTTACACAGTTGAACCCTACTCCAGGAAATTCTGCTGCACAGGGCTTGGAACCCTTGGTTCAGTATGTTGTTGTTTCTTTGTATGAGATGTGCACACATGGTTTGGGACCAGAGGTCAACCCTGAGTGTAAGGAGTAGGTTTTTCCTCCCGCCACTGGTCTTGTCCTGCTGCCGCGCCAGCCCCACTAACACACCAAGACTCTGTATTTGATATAATGCTGTTGGCCAGGTACTTGTTTCTTATCGGCTAACTCTGTATTAACCTATTTCTGTTAATCTATGTATTTCCACGTGCTTTCATCTTACCGGGGAATGGGGCCTGCGTCTGGTCTCCTCAGTCTCTCCATCTTGACTCCTCCTTACTCCCTTCCTCTCTCCTTCTTGTCTCCTAGTCCCTCCTCTCTTGCTTTCCTATTGGCCAACAGTGCTTTATTCATTAACCAATATGAGAAACATATTTACAGAATGACTCTCCCATCACCTGGGTATCTTTCCCTAGATTTTGTACATCTTACATTTTTATGAGCCATGAACCCTCTCTGGCCTGAAACATACCAAGTAGGCTGGACTGACTGACTAGTGAGCCCCAGGGATACTCCTATCTTTGCCTCTTCCCCAGTGTTGGGGTTATAAGCATGTGCCACCATGTCTGGCTTTCATACTTGTGTGGCAAGCTCCTTACCAACAGAAGCATCTCCTCATCCTTGTCATGGCTTTAGATATGGAAGGAGAAATGAACACACACACACAAACACACACACACACACACACACACACACACACACACACACAGAGTCTGTGCATGTCCCTAAGGTGGGTCTGCCTCATCTGAATCTGCTGGCCAAGGCAGCCCTGAGCTGTGTGTGGCTCAGGAGAGGGGATACTCCATGGACCAGTGTTTAAAGTGGGTCCTTCAGCTTTTTGTGAGAGGTTTTTCTTATTTTGCTGACTGTGTATAAGAAGAGACACACAGCAGGTGCCTTAGGCAGGGAGGGCAAGCTCTCTCAGTGCAGTCAGTTTTCCCTTCCAGGGAAAGTCCTCTGCATAGCCCCAACTCCAACTAATATTTACTTTATTAAATTTTCAAATTAAGCTGAGCACTTTGGTACATATTTTAATCCCAGCACTCTGGAGACTGAGGTAGGTGATTTTTTGTGAGTTGTAGGCCAGCCAGTACTATATAGACCATGTCCCAGAGAAAGAGAAATGACAAATTAGAAAGTCACACTTTTTAAGCTTTCTGTTTGACTTATAAATCTTATTGAATAGCAAGTATTTGCACTCACTTTTAAGAGGCTTTTGAGTTATATTTAGGCTCATTTACAAGTATGTGTGTGTGTGTGTGTGTGTGTGTGTGTGTGTGTGTGTTTCACTGTTAGTATTTAGCAATTCAATTTCACTTTCAAGTTCTTTTGGCCATCTGAAATCAGGCCTGTCACTAGAGTATGAGATTACATAAGCCATTCTTAGCCTGACAGCCTGCTCTCATAGATATAGGAAGACCTGAGCTCTCTCTTACACACCCAGATACTGCTTCTAAGGTGAACAGTATCTCAGCTTTGAATGTTGCAAGTTCATGGTAGAAATTTACATGTCTCCACCCCCTAGTCATTAATACTACACCTGGGACTGGTCCTTTTGTCTTGGTGTTCAGTTTAAATATCCTCAAGGAGGGATAAGATACATTTTCTCATTAGGAACACAATGTTCTGGCCCACAGTTTGAAGGTTTTCTCCACTGTTGATCACCACATGACCATGCCTTTGCATTTTGGAGACAGGTTCTCACTTACCCCAGGCTAGCCTCAAACTCTTGATCGCCCTGCCTCATTCTCTCAAGAGCCGGAATAGACTTCATTGAGATTTATTTAATATGTATGACCATTTTCCTTGTATGTATGTCTATGCACCACATGCATGCAGTGCCCAAGGAGGCCAGAAAAAAGGAGATAGAGCTCCTAGGGCCAGAGTTTAAACACAGTTATGAGCCACTACGTAGTTGCTGGGAGATACCCAATCCTTGCAAGAGTAACAAGTGCTCATAACTCCTTAGCTGAAATGACCTCTCTCTCCAGCGCCTCAAATGGATTTGTAACAGGGTTGGTTTTAGGGCTTTAACTATAGCTTGGTTGTAGAGTACTTTTCTAGCATGTCACAGTCCATGGCAGGGCTTAGGTTCAACTCCCAGCATATCTCTCTGTCCATCCATCTGTCTGTCTGCCTCTTTCTTTTTCTCTTCACTCCTCCATGCCTCCTCTCCCTCCTGCTTTGTGTGTGTGTGTGTGTGTGTGTGTGTGTGTGTATGAAAGAGAGTGAGTGAGAGAGAGAGAGAGAGAGAGAGAGAGAGAGAGAGAGAGAGAGAGAGAGAGAGACTTTAAATGATGTGGGGCTGGGAAGATGGCTTAATGGGTAAAGATGCTTGCCACCAAGCCTAATAAGTTTGATCCCTGAGAACAGCATAGTAGAAGGAAAGAACTGACTCCTAAAAGCTTTCCCCTAACCTCCTTGTGCACACTCAGATGCACTTTTATGTATGTGTGTGCATGTATGTGCATATGTGAATGTACACACGCAGACTTGGAAAATAAATACAAGGGCACATATCTGCATCCCACAGTAGTTTTACACTCCCCACTCCTTGCACTGTGCTGGTTTCATGTCAAGTTGACACAGGCTAGAGTCGACTCTCAACTGAGAAAATCCCTTACCAGATTGGCCTGTAGATGAGTCTACAGGACATTTTCTTAATTACTGACTGATGGGGATGGCTCAACCCATTGTGGATGGTGCCACCCCTGGGCTGTTGGTCCTGGATTCTATAAGAAAGCAGACTGAGCAAACTAGCAAGCAGCACTCTCCATCATAGTCTCCCCATCAGTTCCTGCTTGATGATGCTATAGTCTGTAGGTGAAATAAACCCTTTCCTCCACAAATTGTTTTGGTGTTTTATCAGTCATGGATACCTACCCCTCCAAACCCTCCCAATACAACCACTCAATGGGGGACCTTAAGGGAGGTGGTGGCTCACTGTGGGGCTCTGCAGCAAACAAAGAATTCACAAGCCCAGACATGGCAAACACAAGCCCAAGCAACTGGGGCCAGGAGCATGAGTGAATGAGGATGACCAACCAATGTCTCCTTCTCTCCTTTCTGGGTAGGTTGGCCTCATCCAGCTCAAGCAGGAGCAGGTGTTCATCCAGCCCCTCAACAACTCAGGAGGCCCATTCAGTGGAAGAGAGCATCTGATCAGGCGCAAATGGTCTTCCGCCCCCAGTCCGTCTGCTGACGTGGAGGAGCCCGGGCAGCACTGCACAGTAGTGGCAGGTGAGGGGATGCAGTGGAGGGGATGGAATGGAACATGCACAGCTGACACTCTGTGGGCTCATGCACTGAAGTCCTAAGTGAGAACTTGCCTTCTTTATGTAGCCACGTCTCATGTGATGGCAGGGATATAGTGCTGAGAATTTTATGGTCAATTTCCTAACTGCTTGAACATCATAGAGTGATGCATTTAGATTAAGATGACTACAATGTCACCAGCTAATATTTATCACCTATTGTTAACAGAAATTGTTATGGTCATATGAGGATATTTTGGAAGCCGCCTCCATTGCTCCCAAAGCCACCTTCTTTCTCATGTATATTTGTGCTGACATTTCATGTGTAACTGCCCTTTGAAATGTTTTATTTCTACAAGGAACCCAGTTCTCATTGGAAAAGAGCCTTAGTTTTCTGTTTTGTTTTTCCAAGATAGGGTTTCTTTGTGTAGCTCTGGCTGCAACTCAGTCTGTAGATCAGGCTGGCCTTGAATTCAGAGATCCACCTGCCTCTGTCTTCCAAGTGCTGGGATTAAAGATGTACTCTCATGCTCAGCCTTAGTTTTAGGCATCAGGGAGCAACTAGAGGCCAGAACGCCTTGTTACCAAGTACCAGGCTGCAGCATACCTGGGATACAACTTTCCCTGATGAGCTTACCTGCTTTTTAATACACTGGTCCTCAGCCTTGGATGCTATAATGAGAGTTGCCTGGGCAACCTATGAAACCCTGGGTGGGCAGCATTTGTATTACTGGGAACTTTTCAGTACATAACATCCTCCAGCCTCATGTTAGACTTGCAGTGTCTAGAGTATCACAGCCTGGTTTAGTCAGATACATGATCATGTGTGAAAACCACTGCTTTAAAAGTACCATTTAGGGACCTGGGGAGATGGCTCAGTCAGTAAAGTACATGACACTTGATCATAAGGACCTAGAACCACACAGAGGGCAGGGTATGGAGGTACATGTCCATAATCTCAGCACTGGGGAGCAGGGGCAAGCGGCTTTCCAGAGTTGACTGGCCAGCTAGTACTGCTGGATTGGTGAGTGCCAGGGTCGGTAAGAGAAGGGCTCAGAAAGTAAGGGAGTGACTGAGGAAGTTGCCTGATGTTGACCTTCATGCACATGCGATACACATGGGAAGCAGACATACCTTCTCCCAGGGTTGTTTACTTAGCTGTCCTCTCACATCCTGGGTTAATAGGGCTGGAATGTGACTTGTGACTTGGCTGTAAGGTTTTTTTTTTTTTTTTTTTTTTTTTTTTTTTTTTAATGACATGTTGTTTGGATAGGGAACCCTCTGTTTTTCCGCTCTGCACCTCTGTTTGAACGTGTGTGGGTTGTCAGGTACTTAAGGATATTTCATGGTCCTGTATCACTAGCAGTCTGCTTGAAAATGTTCCCTGGCCCAATTGGATAACCTGCATTGTTCAAGTGGCTATAGCATTTCTTCCTGGGCTGGAACCTGCTCTGTACTTCTGCGTTTGTCTTGCTATGGGGATATAATGTGACTCAGTTTGGTGCTCTGGTGACCTTGGAAATATGTCAGGATTGCTTTACAGTGCAGTTCAGCCATTGCCCGAGGCTTGCTGTTGTTACCCTTCTTGGGCTGTCTGCCTGTGGCAGGGACAGTTAGCAGTGACCATGATGAATAAGTTCAAGGAGAAAGAATGCTGCCTCAATTACACAGTTTTCTTACTTGCTGTCAACACCCTTAACTGAAAAGGGAAGGGGACACAGACCTCAGCATAAAATTAATAATCACTAAAGTACCCTTTAATGGGATTCAGGATATATTGACTCATGGATATGCACTTGGTAGATTGGTTTCTTTGGATCAGTCTCCCCCTCCCCCCCAACCCTGTTATCTGCTTTATAATGAACATGGGTTCAGAGGCTGTGACTTTGCCATGTTCTTTCTGAGTCCTTTAGGTGTGTTGGCATCACCTGGCAAGCTTGGCCAGCTACTCATATGTATCTGCTATAGCTTGTCTGGAGTATAACCTGGACATTTGACTTTGCAACAATTCCCAGGTGGTCTTAGCATTTGCCTGGTAGTGAACACTACCCACTAGCAGAGGTGTTCCACCTCTGACGTTGGGATATGGTGTTGTTAATCTGTAAGTGTGTGGAGAACCTCCCTAGTTATTCTGAGATGCATGTGGCCTGTAGGTTGGACACTCTGCAGGGAGTAAATACTTGATGGGAAAGAGCATGTTTGGGCCATTGAGAGTGGATTTCTCAGATGAGAAACTTCACACAGAGGCACATAGTGATGTGAAGGTCGGATGGGGTTTTATTCTCCTTATTCAAGCTGACACCTCATCAGCTGCCACTTTGTGACCTGCTGCCCAGCATGTCTGCCAATGAGCTAATGGGATGTTTATCTGATGACCTGCTGCCATCCTCTTTGAGGGAGTGACAGCTAGAATTGCTGACCAAATACCAAATGGTGCTTGTGTTTGCATTTTTGTGCTCGCAGTTTTGGAACACACTTTGGACTGTTTAGCCATTAATGGAGGAAATAAAACGAGTGGTCAGGGTGGGTTGGATGTGGGAAGAAACTAAGAGCATCTATGTGGGCTGTAAAGAAAGATCTCTGAATTTGCTTCAAAAACAATCTTTCCTTTCTTTCTCTCAAATCTTATACCAGCTTCCTCCAAGGTGCTGAGGCACAAGTGTGTAGCACAGATGAAATGAAAGCCTCTGGAGGTAGGGCATGACCCTGAAGACAGAATCATACCTTGCTTCTGGTCCTTCTGTTTTGCATGCTTCTACCTTCCGTCCATGCTTCCACCACATTGAGAAAGATGCTGAGCCCTTTACTGGACTTAACTAGTAAGGCTTTACTCATTTGGATTAGCTTTCTAATCCTGGGCTTTGGAACTCCCTGGCAAATTAACTTCCTGGAATACTAGTAAAGTATATTCTTGAAGTTTCCTGCAAAGGTTAATCAGATTAATCCCAGGGTAGCATGTTCAGTCTAGCTGAATAAAGTAGCTCTAAGTTAACTGAGCCTTGCTACTGACCTTTTATTTACTCGATCCTTAGACCTGACCCCAGAGTGTCCTGACTGGCTGGCTCCTTCAGGCAAGGAGGAATCTAACAGGGCTTCCCTGAGTCACTGAACCTACCTGAAAGATAAACCTTAGTAACTGTCTAGTAGCTTGTGTCTGGATAGGGTAGGGACTGGATGGACCAACACAGCCAAGGCCCCCAGGGGAGGGAGAACTTCCTTCCCAGAGATGCTACTGAGCTTGCATTTCTGGGAAACTTTGTGGGCTCCCGGTGAAGGGACAAGCTGATCCTTTTCCCTCCCAGCATTTCTTTTTAGAACTCCATAAACTGATCCATGAAATAAAATACCAGTTTGCAACCTGGCAAGACAATATGGAGTCTATAAACTTTTTATTTTGGGTGCAACAGTGAAGGCCTTTTGGTTATTTTTTTTTTTTTGATAGCTAAAATGGTACTTCATATATGTTGAAATGCTCTTTGAATTTAAAATGGTCATTTTGACCTCAAAGCTCTGTCTCTCTTCTGTGTTTGTTTTAATTTCTCTGTATTCAATCTAGAATCCTCCACTGCTGTCTTCATGGCATCAAGTACCAATTTGACTTCTTTACTGTGGTTGGTATCACATGCAGGTGGTAGCAGTAAAAAAGAAGATAAGTTTGCAATGAGGCATTAAAAAAAAATAAAACACAGGAATCTCATCACAGTTTTGAGCGATGGCAAAATTAGAATATAAATCTGCCTTAGAGTTGGATCTATACAGCACTGAGGTATGTTTACAAAAATTCTGTTATAACTGCTGAAATTATTAGTTATTTTCTAGTATCATCTGGTGCATATATAATGATATAAGGTCATTTTAAATGAATGTCTAAAAGATACTGTAACTTTTAAAAAGCTGTATATGCTAATTGATATAATCATGCTTTGTTTAATCATGCATATATATGCTAATACATAGCTGGCCAGAACTTGGGCTTTATCACAACTAAGATTCATTAGTCAGAGACTGGCCTGGGCTCACAGGATTGATGGGTGAAGCAGGATGGACTTCAGTCCCCAGCTCTCCCCTCTTAACTGACAGAGGGAGATCCAAGGAGGGGAAGGCCTTCTACTGAATTGGGATTTGAGGTAGGCTGGCTTGGGATACTGTCAGTTTACCATACTTTCAGATGTGTGGAGTCAGGATCAGATCTGCATCTGAAAGAGCATATAAGTGTCAGTCCCCAGGTGACTGTGCGGCGCCACTCCACCTGCTGTCCCTGCCCTGGCTTCCTGCAGGCCATTACACTGCAGGTTAAAATGTGGTCATGTGGACTGACACACTCACCTGGACCTAACCCACCTTTCTAGGCCCCCACTTGATGTGGCAGCTTCCTTCCTCTTTCTACAATGAACAATTTAAACTGATCAGCTCCTCATTCCGCTATGACCAGAGAGAAGGGTGACAGCTGAGCTTTGCTCACTTAGGAAAGGCTCAATCCCTCTGGGATTGCTTCCTGTTGGCTAGTGGTTCTCAGCCTGGGCAGTCAAATGCCCTTGCCGTAGGGGCCACATATCAGATACCCTGCATCTCACATAGTCACGTTACAATCCATAGCAGTAGCAAAAGTTCAGTTATGAATAGCAATGAAATAATTTTATGGTGGGAGTCACCATAGCAGAAAGAACTGTTTTAAAGGGTTGTAGCATTAGGAAGATCTCGAACCACTGATCTAGATTTTGAGATGTTAGCGCATTGGTTAGGGTTTAATAATAATGGCGATGATGATATTAAATGATAATAGACAATGCATATTATTTTTTTTATTTTGCCCAGTGTCTATTGTTGGAACAGTGGTCTTTTATGTTCTCTATATATATTTTTTTCTGTTTCAAAAAGCTTTATTTTTACTTGGTCCAAGACCTGGGAGAGGCTTCAGGGCATTTACAAAGCTGCCTAGTGGCTTGACAGGTTCCAGTGAAGGTCCTGAGGCTGGCTGATGCAGAG